CTGCAGGGTAATCAAGAGCCAGCGTGCAACAGTTGCACGACTACTCCAATACCCTGTAGTCTTAAATGAGAACTTGCTTAGTCGCAGGTTGTCTGACTGCGCGAAGAGTTTGCTGCGTTAAGCAAGAAGGGGACATATATTTTTTTATTATATTTATATACGACTCTATTGCATACCCTGTAAACATAGGCAACTAATTCGAAGCTTAACTATTGACTTGAGTTTTAAGGGGCTTGCCATGTCCAATATCGAGAGTATATTATTATATATTTTATATTCCTATGTAGTGTGTCTACAACTATTCTATGGTATACCCTGTAAATATAGAGAGCAATTGAATTTATTGAATTGTTAAAATGTAATATGAACGTAAAGCTTTTAAGATCATTTCCTATATGTAATACGACATTTACTTAGTAGATAGTTTTGCAAATGCTTCGACTCGCTGCCTGAATACCCTGTATTCCTCATTTAACAAGACTAGCTTACAATTCACAAAGTTCTTCGCTTTGATCTCTTGCGTAACTAGGCTTTATTTTACATTCACAAATGTTATATAATCTGCCAGTACAGGGTATTATAGGAACATTCCTCTATGGAATACCCTGTAAATATAGAGAGCAATTTAATTTTTTGGATCATTTCTTATAGTTTAAACAACGTCTACTTAGCACGACTATTGAATAGCCTAGAAGAGTTAACAGTAGATAGCTTAGCAAATGCCTCGACTCGCTGCCTGAATACCCTGTACTCTGCATATAACAAGACAAACTTACCAATTGCACAGCTTTCCGCTTTGATCTCTTGCGTAACTAGGCTTTATTTGACATTCACAAATGTTACATAATCTGCCAGTACAGGGTATTATAGGAAGACATCACAATCAAACGGCATCAAGACAATTGGCAACTTCATTATTTTTGCGCGTCGCCGAGTTGGCAACGCGACAGCGACGCCGACTGCGACTTCGACGCAGGTTAATAAATCTAAAGCTGCGACACAGGGCGAAAAATAAGAGAGAAAATGGAAAAGTCGCGGGTTGCGGGCTGCGGGGCGGGGTTGCGCGGGGGTGAAGTCAGCGCGACGACAGCGTCTAAGCCTATGCAAGTGGAGTTCATTACAAATCGTTTGTCAGCTTAGGGCAACGGTCGGTGGGCGGGTGGGCGGGGCTGTCTGCCTGCCTGGCTGAGATTTAATGCCTCAAACGTTTTTAATTCAATTTGTTTTGGCCCGTGCGCCGGCTGCTGTCTCGATTATTTTTGCCACTGATAATGCTAATAAGGATAAGCGCCGCCCAGTCGACCGGGGGGGCGAGGGGGGAGGCTACTTAAGAGCTGCACTCAGCCCCCCTCCCCCTCCCCATCCCTCCTCTCAATCCCCATTCAAAATCAGCGCCAATTTTTGAGTGCTGTCAGAACTGGCGGCTATTTTGGGACTGTGCAGCGCAACAATTAGCGTGCTGCCACACACACACACACAGAGAGAGAGAGATCCCGGCATACACATATGCATGCACATGAAATCGGCTTTTGTGTTAGCCCCCGAAATCGTGGGGGTGGGGTGGCGGCAGGATAATGGATTTAATGAGTTTATTATTCGGTTGCGCTACGCATTTTGCCTCTATTGTTCTCTGGAGCCAAAGCCTCAGTCGGCGCACCTATGCCACCTATAAAGGCGGCCTCTAGGCCCCAGGCCCCCGGCCCCAACATAATGCCAAAGCCAAAAACGGTCAGGCCCCGAAAAACGCAGAGTCCACAGCTTGCAGGTTTATGTCGCTGTGAAAATCGTTATTGCGTATATTACGCTAAAATACAACAAAAAGGACGCCGAGCATGGCTTTAATATATATTTATATATATGTGTATACGTGTGTGTGTGTGTTTGTGTGTGTGTGTGGCATGTGGCACACGGGATTACGTGCCCCCAAAAATATATGCCGTGTGCCCTTATTGTTTTACATTTTATAGACTCTGCAGCAGATCAGAGATTATAAATTAACTTAAATTTGAATATTCAATATATCGAAGAGAATATTATAGAATATATATAATATATAAAATAGAAGGTCTATAAAAAATGATTGATATATTTTTATTAAATGCCTGCCTTTTTTTTTTTGTTGTCATTTAACATATTCAACTTGTAAAATATAAAACTATGATTATATAGAATTTAATTTACAAAGCTTAACAAAAAGAAAATTAAATTAAATTAAAAAGCTTCTGAAGAATTCTTTAAGAAATTTTTCAACTTCTGTTCTTTGACTTTTTTAAGCATATTTTCATATACAACTTTTTAAATACACAAATATAATTAAGAGATAAATTAAACAGATATAAAGGTTTGCAAAGAAGAAAATTATATTTAATTAAAGAACTTCTGAAGAATTCTGTAAGAAATCTTCCAACTTCTCAAAGGCCTTACTTTGAATTTTTTAAGTTTAATATTCAACTTTTTAAATACACAAATATAATAAGAGATTAAACAGATATTCTTTAAAGGATTACAAAAAAGAAAATTAAATTAAATTATAAAATGACTGAAGAATTCTGTAAGAAATCTTCCAACTTCTCAAACTTGTTGACTTTTTTAAGCACATTTTCAGCATTATTTTTATTGTAGTTCCGGAGCATATTGTAAATACCTTTAGTCTCCCTTTATTCCACATAATTGTTTATTCCTTTTTCAATTATTTTATACATACATACACACGTACATACATATATGTATGTATGTCATGCGCTTTCCACGAACATATGTATGTTCAATACAATTGATATATTTATTTTTAATGCCCAATAAGGATTTTATGGCAATTAAAAGATTTGCAGGCAACATATGCATATGTATATATGCACATATATTTATTTGTAGTAAAAATCGCGCATAATTGCGGCGGCAACTTTTGGCCGCGTTCTTCTGGCTGTTTAAAACGCGCCCAAATGCCAATCGCCTGCAATCTCCGCGCGCTGCTTACAATTTTTATAATTGGAATAATTAATAATACCATTATGGCGGCCAGCCAGCGCGGGCGTTAAGCCTATTTGCTGCTTCTGTCCACGGCACCTATGCCCCTCCCCCCCCTCCCTAGACCCTCCCGCATGCATTTGCAGCTTTGGATTGGGCAGCATCGCATTTGCGTTTTCGCTATTGGCAAACATTTTGGTAAATTATTTTTAAGCTCCACATAATTGGTCGCGAAAAAAGTGTTGTGTTTTAGGCCAAAATGCGATTTATATGGGCGTGCCATAGTTATGCTACTAACTATCATATTTGGGCTGACTAGAAGAAGTTGCCCGGCGTTGCCAGGCACAAAATAAGCGCCAATTTACGTCGAAGTGCAAGCAAATATTTATTTATTTATTTATTTTATTTTTTTTATTTATATTTATTTATATATAATTATTTATGGAGGTTGATTCACTTAACTTCTTTATATAGAAGTGCTATGATTATACTCATATTTGGGCTGACTAGTGGAAATTGCCCGGCGTTGCCAGGCACAAAAAAAGCGCCAATTTAAGTCGAAGTGCAGGCAAATTATTTGCCATAAATATAATATAATTATTTATTTATTGAGATTGATTCACTTAACTTCTTTACTTTTCTGACTAGAAGAAATTGCCCGACGTTGCACGGGCACAAAAACGCGCTTATCATATCCCAAAAATATACATATATATATATTTATTTTCTCTTCACGGAGCTTGGTTCCATTAACTTCGTTCTGAATTGCTGCTAGATTTGAACTGGCGTGTCTCCTGCTTGTTGGTTCGACGCGTAGCTTTACGTTCGCAAAGCATTTTTCTGCATAGCTCTTCACGGACAAACTCTTTTATATTTACGAGTCCTTCACTCAAGCACTGCCAAAATCAATTGGCCAGCTATGTTAGTTGGCGGCAAGTGCACATTATTAATTTATAATTATTTAGCCTGTTATGCATAATGTATTCATAATCGGGCCAATATAAGGCGTAAGCGGCTAAAACCATTTTGCGGCTAACCGCAGCATGCAATCATTTATTGAAATACCTCTCTCTATTTGCGGGAGTCTGCCAGCATATAAAATATGTTTTAATTGCTTATTTTAATTTGGCCGATTTGCACTTGGCGCCATTTGAAGCGTTCCAAATTGAACACTAAACCGATTAGCAGCAGTTGCAGCAGGCCCTAGAGTTAGGCAGTAATTAGCACTAGTCACAGTAGCGCGACTTTGTGATACCCTAGATGAAGGTTAAAAAAAATACAAGTAAATAGCCACAAGTATTTAAGTTCCAAAGTCAAGAAACTAGACAAAGGCCTGCCTAAAAAACAAACAGCTTCCTTTTTCAGCTATTTCTTTATTCCAAAATATTTTATATAATTTTTCAGTTTAATAAATACATATAAATATTTTTTAGAATATATTTTCTTATATTGTATTTTCTACATATATCTGGCTTTTGAAAGAGTATACGAACTGCTATAAAGAAATTCAACTATCCTAGATCAAAGCAAAGAAAATAAAAAGTTAACTTTTCTTATTTATACAAGCAAATATTTAAGTTACTAAGAAAAGAAAAAATTGATAAAAGAGCTGCCTAAAAACCAGTTTATTCTCAAATTCTCAATAAATACAAATATTTTTTAAATATATATATTCCTATTTGTTATATTCTATACATATTTGACTTTTGAAAGAGTATACGAAGTGCTATAAAGAAATATAATTATTATCAGAATTTCAACAATGTTTGTACTTGAAGTGTAGTGCAAACTACTTGATTTGCAAAAATATCAAACTCGGGCACTTTATTTATATATTTTTTGTTTATTTTGCATCTGTATAAACAGCATGCCCTTTGTGTATATAGCTGCTGCAGGGTATTTGCAACTAATTTGTTGTTTTTCGAGTGCTTTAAAAGCTTCTCCAAATTTATGATTATTAAAATGAAATTTCCAAACAGCCCTCTAATTTCTCCCTCTCCCTCTCTCTCTCTCTCTCTCTCTCTCAATTGCAGCGAAATCGCTTCCGCTGCACTGCGTCGTGGAGTCCGTGCACTCGCTGCACGCCTCGCTCACCATAGACACACGCCAGCCGTGGAAACGGCGGCCCAACATCGAGACGGACAGCTATGTGATCATCGCAGCGGCCACGCCCTGGAGCGAAATAGTCCAGACGGCGCTGCAGCGTCTCGGCTACTCGCAGGAGGTGGCCAACACGGCAAGAGGTGAGTACAAGAAATTGTAGAGGGGAGGGTATTGCCTTATTCGGTGATAGCCTAATTCTACTTTCCCCAGAAAATGTTTGCAAACTTCACATTTTGCGGTTCCATTGGCAAATTGGCCCGTTGTCGGTAACATGTGATTTTTTGCGAATGTTAAAAATGTTCGTTCTAATGGGAAAACCTACAGGCCACATATTTCACATTCGCAAAAAATGTTGTCAACATGTTGTCATATATATTTTACATTAGAAAAAAAAAAAAAGACAGTGGAATTTTCGCGAATGTCACATTTTTTGGCGAATGTGAAAAATGTGTTTTCTTATGGGGTACATATTTCACATTAGAAACAAATGTTACATATGCAAAAAATGTAAGAAATGTTGTCATATATATTACACATTAGGAAAAAAAATGTTACATTCGAAAAAATTGTAAGAAATGTTGACAGTGGAATTTTCGCGAATGTCACATTTTTTGGCGAATGTGAAAAATGTGTTTTCTTATGGGGAAACCTACATATTTCACATTAGAAACAAATGTTGCATATGCAAAAAATGTTAGAAATGTTGACAGTGGAATTAGGCTAGAAGTGGACTTATTCCACACTTTATTGACCTAAATCTTAACTCCTTCTCTCCCTCTCCCTCTCTCTCTCTCCCTTTGCTAGGCTCGCTCATCATCAAGCACTGGAAGCCCATACCACTGGAACAGATCTCTGATAATCCGGCTGTGCCGGTTAGCGATATTGTTGGTGAACTGACCTCGGTGATAACGCTCCGGATTGTCATATTGCGCCCAAAGACCTCACCCTTTGGCGAGATCAAGGACAAGCTGCTCAAGCTGCTTGTGCTGCAATCGCATGCGCTGCTCCGCTCCACCGGCTGCCCCCTGGATGAGGTGAGTCCACACGCACACACACACACACACGCACACACACGCAGCTCTAAGCTAATTAGACATTCACTTTGAACTCGAACTACAAAACTTGCGCGTTAAGTTGACAAAATTCTATAATGATTCATAAGCGGTTTACGGCCACGACAACAACAACAATTATTAGCTGGCGTTTTGTGAGAGTTGCCCAAAAAAAAAAACTTTCCAAAAACTTTGAACTCGGCAACATTTTCTAGACTAAGCCGCAGCTAAGCGGCGCGTTGCGTAGAACCCATGAAAACTCAAACCGCTAATTTGCGTGAATTGAGGCATAAGCACACGCACACACACACACTCTCACACTCACACACACACACTCACACACTCACACACACATACGTATAAAGAGCCAACTGTTGGCAACAAAAGTTTTTTGCGTATCCTTGCGCCTGGAAAATGCTTCGAGCTCTAAAACCAGCCAATGCCAAATGCCGTCTGTCTGCCTGGCTGACTGTGTGTGCGTGCGTGTGTGTGCTTGTGTTTGTCTTTATATTGCATGCATATGAAATTCATAGAAAATGCTTTGATAATAATTCCGAGTACAAAGAAATGTTTGTTAAGCCGACTTCATTTATTTTGGTTCACTTAACTAATCCTTTTTCTGCAATAGTTTTCATTTGTAATGCGCTTTGCGCTTATCGCCGAATACACTGAAAACAAATTTTCAACGATTTGTTACGCACACATATGTGCAAAACTTGTAGGAATTAACCGGCGTTGCGCGGCTCAAATTAATAAAGTTGTGCATTTGAGGCAGATGCAAAGCCAGAGGCACCTAGAATCTAAAGAATTGTGCTGGAATTGAACCGGCGATCTTCCGCTTGCCAGTCCAATGTCTCCCCGTCTCTCTGACTGTCTTTCTGTCTGTCTTTTTGCCTGTCTCCCGGGATGTCTCCCCGTCGCTCTACCTGTCTCTCTGAGAATTTCTGCTGGTATTGAACTGGCGATCTCCCGTTTGCTAGTCCGACGTCTCCCCGACTCCCTGACTACCTGTCTGTCCGTCTATCTGTCTCCCCGTCGCTCTGCCTGTCTCTCTGACGATTTCTGCTGGAATTGAACTGGCGATCTTCCACTTGCTAGTCCGACGTCTCCCGGTCTCCCTGTCTGTTCGTCTGTCTGTCGCACATCTGTCTGTTTGTCTGTTTGTCTGTCTCCCCGTCTGTCTGCCTCCCTGTCTGTCTGCCTCTCTGTCTCTCTGCCTGTCTGTCTGCCATTCTGACTTTCTTCCTGTCGGTCTATATGTCTGCCAGCCTAAGCCTCTATCAAAAGCTCGCTTTGCAACCAGTAAGAATTCCTGCTTTCTAGCCTTGAGGGTTTTGTCATGATCCCCAGTCAGATAGCCAGGAAAAACCCTCCTACATATATAGATATATATAGTTATATATATATAGTTATATATATGTGTGCACTTTCCGATTGTGTAGAGCTCAGTTGGGCTTATTTGTGGCCAACACAGCGGGGCAGATCATAGTCTTAAAGAGTTGTGTGCGGGCAGCGCATGACCCACATCTAAATCCTCCACCACAAGCGCCCGCACCTCCCCCTCCCCCCTCCTCGACTGCAGTCAGTCATAAATCAGAGTATTTTCATGTCTATATATATTTGTTGTTGTTGTTGTCTTTATCGGAAATCACGACCGAAATACCCTTCAATTGATATTGCGACTGATTTTATTGGCCCTGATTAATATTAGCAAGGCGTTTGCCCCTCTAATCACATGATAAGCATATATATATTCCTATAATTCCCTCCGCACACACACACACACACACACACATACGAATACTCTTTGATTGTGGTCACATTGGTCCCGTGGCTAATGTTCGTCTGTGTTCCGAGAATTGCGAAAGTCACCAACGATATGAAAATCAATTTAATAATTGCCCGCCGTTCCCCCCCCCCTCTCACCCGCACACACATTTTATTTACAATTAGTTGTCTATAACACCTTCCTTACCTTACCCCCCCCCCCTCCCCCTACCCCCTTCCCCCTCGCCCTGGTATGTTTCCGAGGCAGCTTAAGTGATTTGGGGCGCCTCCTTAGCTGATAGCGACAGACATTATCTATTATGTGGAGCTGGCAGAAGCGCACGTCGTATTTGAATCGAGTATCTATGAGCATTTAATACGACCCACCTCCCCCTCTCCCCTCTCCCCCGTATAATATATATATGCGATTGGGCATTGCTACCGCTTCGCTCTAAACACGGGTGAGTTTCTTCTGTTTTCTGTTTCGTTTCTATTTCTGAACATTAAATTCAATTTTAATCGCATAAGCTGTTGTGTCGTCGTCCCCTATCGCGGGGCATAGGGACTATCTATTTATCGCGCCTGACGTTGCCGTCCGTCCGTCAGTCAGTTAATATCAGCTCTTTTTTTTTCTGTTTTTGTGGGGTATCAGTTCTATATCGTTATAGTCAATTTTGAGTCTGCCGCAATCAGAGCCAACGCCGCGCACATTTATGGCTAAGTAAATCCCGGCCACTTGAGGGCCTTAACAAACCAAACGGAATCAAACCGAACCACAACCCAAACCAAAACCAACCCAATGCGACTCAACTTTGATTTTTATGACAGCCGCTTAGTGGGCCAGACGTGGGCTCAAACCGGCTAAGTGCACTGGCGACAGCTAACCAGTAACCAGTGCAGTCATGCCTCCTACTCATTGCACCCATTCAAATTGGGTAAAGAGGGTATAATCTATTCAACAGGCAGAAGGAAGCATCTCCGAGCCCATAGAGTATATATATGCAGCATCAATAGCCGAGTCGGTCTAGCCATGTCCGTCTGGATCTCAGAACCTATAAGAGCTAGAGACTTTAAATTTTTAACGGAGATCCTCCTAGTGCCCGCACAGTACGAGTTTGTTTCATATAATCGATAACTTGCCACGTTGGCAAGCAATCGATAAGAATCGATATCGAAATCCTGTTTTCTTAGGGTTTTAGAGCTAGAGTCAGCAAATTTGACATGAAGCTTCTTGAATAGTATATATATATACAAAACTTAGCTATAAATCAAATTAATATACCAATTTGAACTGCCCACCAATGTTAGCCACAATTTGAATGCAATTGTCTTTTTGAGAACATATAAAAATTCTATAGCACATTAGGAATTGCTGTTCAAAGTTTAATCCAGATCGGTTAAGGAACACAAAAGTTATTTAAGAAAATGTTTGCCTACATCACCAAGTTTGACATGTAACTTCTTTAATAGCATGTATACAAAACTTAGCTATAAATCAAATTTATCTACCAATTTGAACTGCCCACCAATGTAAGCCACAATTTTAATGCAATTGTCTTTTTGAGAACATATAAAAATTCTATAGCACATTAGGAGCTACTGTTCAAAGTTTAATCCAGATCGGTTAAGAAACACAAAAGTTATTTAAGAAAATGTTTGCCTACATTGACATGTGTTTGCTGCAGCTAGCCTAACTGCGCGTCATTGCAATTGCGATTGTATAAGATGTTGGTAGAAGAGGGTTCAGGGTATCCCCTAGTCGGAAACTCCCGTCTAGAGCCCCTTACTTGGTTAGAGTTGTGTTTCTTCGCGTGAGTCCCGTTAGAATCTCCCACTCAATCGACCAAGGAAGCTGTCTTATTAGCTACAACAGAAGCAACTGAGCTTATTCTTTCCAAGTTTCTTTCCAGTTATATAAGGATCGGCGGGAGGTATCATAAAAGTGAAATATTTTGGTATATCTAGCTTTTATATTAATCGAGATGTCGGCTTGTAGATACTGCTTACCCTTTTATCCAAGGCTAATCGTGTTCCCTCCTCGTTTGCAGGTGACGCTCTCGCAGATTTGTCGTAGCTCGCACCAGAATACGTACGCTCTGCCCGGCGGCGAGATACCCGACGAGCTGCGCCGCAAGTTCGATCAATGGTGGTCGAATCAGCTGTCGCCGCAGTCGGCGATGACGCCAAAGATGCTGCCGTTCATGTCGGCGCCGTCGACCGTTGTGCCCGGTGACATGGACTTTCCGGTGGGCACGGCAATGGCTGCCGCGGCCGCAGCCGCTGCGGCCCATGCCGCTGCAGCTGGCGCTGGCGGCGCTGCCAATCCGCTGGGCGCGATGAGCAGCCGCGAGTCGCTGCTGCTGGCCAACGAGCAGCTGGCGGCAGCAGCAGCAGCAGCTGGACATCATCCGAATGCGGCTGTGGGCCAGGCCCAGGCCCAGGCCCAGCAGGCGGGCGGGCATCATGGCAATATGCTGGTGCATCCGATGCACGCGGCCAGCATGCATCATCATCATCATCATGCGGCGACGCATGGCGGCGGCCAGTATCCCAGCCAGAAGACGCGCATGCGCACGAGCTTCGATCCGGAAATGGAGCTGCCCAAGCTCCAGAAGTGGTTCGCGGAGAATCCGCATCCCTCGCGCCAGCAAATCCAGACCTATGTGGTGCAGCTAAACGCGCTCGAGTCGCGCCGCGGCCGCAAGCCCCTCGACGTCAACAATGTCGTCTATTGGTTCAAGAATGCGCGGGCGGCACAGAAGCGCGCCGAGATGCGAGGCGGCAGCTTGGGGAATGCGATGAGCGCGTTGGGGCATGCCGCCATGAACGGGTATCTGAGCCAGCATGCGCCGCTGGGCCAGAACTCGAGCAGCAGCGCCGGCAGCCAGCCGCTGAGCATGGGCAATCTGTCCATGTCGCACGACTATCTCAAGAGTCCGATGAGCCTGAAGTCCGAGGATATTGACACCATGTCCCAGCACTCCGACGAGCTAGGCGAGGAGGAGCAGCCCAGCAGGCCAAGCACGCCCCAGCTGCCGCTCTCGCTGACCACACACGAGCGCCATCGCGGCTCGCCCATGCTGGAGGACGAGGAGGAGGAGCAGGAGAGGCAGCAGCAGCAGCAGCAGCAGCCACTGCGCTCCAAGAGCGCCGGCAGCGATGTGGTCAACGGCGTCGACGAGCACGAGGAGAAGCCCGCCGTGCTCAAAATGGGCGAAGACGCAACACGTGACCACGACAATTCCAACTCCAACAATGCCAATGTCGAGGCGACTGGCAATGTGCTCGGCGACGAGGCCGGCGCCAACAACAACAACAATAACAACAACAACAGCGAGCAGGAGTTAGGCAGCCCGCCGAAGCGCAGCACGCCCAAGGAGGAGGACGACGATCTGGACATGGACGAGGACGATGAGGACAACGAGCAGGATACCAGCCATCTGGATGAGTTTCGTTCGCCGTCGCCGGATCTGTCCGGCAGCGTGACGCCGCACAAGGATCAGCTGCCGTTTCCGATGGTGCCCAACTCGATGTTCTCGCAGTCCTTCATGTACATGAGCCACTATATTCCGGCCTTTGGCCAGGCGGCCGCCGCCCATCCGCATGCCCATCATGCCGCTGCCGCTGCAGCCGCCGCCGGGCTCCAGCCGAATGCGTTAATGGGCGGCGCCGGACTGAATCTGTCGAGCATTTCGAATGAGGAGCGCCGTAAGCGCAATCGCACCTTTATCGATCCGGTGACTGAGGTGCCCAAGCTGGAGCAGTGGTTCGCCATGAATACGCATCCCTCGCACAATCTGATACTCAAGTATACCGAGGATCTGAACACCATGCCCTATCGGTAAGTTAAACCTAAACTAAAGCTAAGATTCCGATACTCGATCGAGCCGAAAGACGATGCTCGAGCTGCCCGATCCAGCCAACATGTTCGAGCCAACATGTTTGAGTTGTGCCAAGCTGAGACAATATACGCATGAAACGATTAGCTCGAACTCTTTTTCGATTAACTCGAACTCTTTTTCGATTAGCTCGAAGTCTTTTTTGATTAACTAGAACTTTTTTCGATTAACTCGAACTGTTTTTCGATTAATTCGATGTCTTTTTCGATTAACTCGAACTCATTTTCAATAAACCAGAACTCTTATCGATTAACTCGAACTCTCTCTTTCGATTAGCTCAAGCTCTTTATCGATTAACTCGAGCTCTTTTTCGATTAGCTCGAACTTTTTTCGATTAACTCGAACTCTTTATTGATTAACTCGAACTCTTTTTCGATTAACTCGAAATCTTTTTCGATTATCTCGAACTCTTTTTCGATTAACTCGAACTGTTTTTCGATTAACTCGAACTCTTTTTCGATTAAATCGAACTCTTTTTGTTTGCAAAATTGCATAGCTCCAATTTTAAACCTGAACTATTTGCTCTGAGTGAAATCTTTTTTAACTCCAACCCTTTTCCTTTGCTTTCTCTTTTGCAGCCAAAAGTTTCCGCGTCTGGAGAGCAAGAACGTGCAGTTCTGGTTCAAGAATCGACGTGCCAAGTGCAAGCGGCTCAAGATGTCGCTCTATGACAACAGCCAGTGCAGCCAGCTGGGCGGGCTCGGCTCCTTTGTGCCCAAGTACGAGGAGCGCGACTAGAGGCCGCTCTCTTTAAATTGAAAATAAAACGAAATTGCAGGCGTATCGAGAGCTATATGTAAATACACACTATTTAAGACTTAAGCCCTATGCAGCTATGACAACATAATTAAGGGGGAAGGGGGAGAAGAGTGACCCCGTCTCTCTCCAAGTATTATAGTAAGAGTTGAACCAGTTTTCAGACCCAGTACCAGACCCACTTTCGGTCCCAGTTAGCTAGGCGCACGAACGCCTCAGAATATTTAGCAAAAAATAAAACAGAAAATAACAAAAAGAATTAGTTAAAAATTATAATTAGATCAACTAATAGGACTTTAATTTATCGCAGCTTCTAGCATGACCTTATCAAATATATCTATATACATATATAAATATGACACTATAATATATATCGAAATAAGTTTAACGATCCATCAGTTCGCAAAGTTAGGAGTGTGTAACCAAAGAAAGCCAATTTCATGTGTAAATATGTATGTTATACCAAAACTATTCTATTACTATAAAATATTTGAATAGTTACTACGAGCATTGGGAATTTCCTGTTTTTCAAATACTTTCAAGTTTTTGCCTTAGTTCCAGTTCGTTTTCCAGCTTAGCACATATCTATGGAGCATTATATGTTTAAAAGAAAAACAAAAAGAAAAAGAAAAAGAAGAAAAGTAAAAAAACTAAAAATATCAAATAAATCTAGCCCAAAGAAAGGGGGGCTTCCGTTTAATGTCCTGGTATTTAATACCTGCAAAATGACATGACATTTTCAGCCGAAAACTCAGCTACTGTCTTAAGTATTCAGTTGTGTATTTGAATAATTCAATTTCAAGCGTTTGATAACAAAAATAACGAGTAGAATTCACATTTATAAAAACTACACATAAACGTGTTTAATAAATTGTTCCACTAGATCCGTAAGCATACAAATCGAAAACAAAAACCAACTAAATTTACTTGTAATTTATTAAAAGCATAAAAACACACACAAACACACACACGAATACACACAACACGAATACACACAACACGCATACATTATATTACGATATGTATTCCCAGCAATTATTAAATAATTAAATAAATACAATTTTAAATGTCAAATTTGAGCTAAACTCGATGTGTTCCTCTTTTGCTTGATAGGATATATTCTCAAAAACTAGAAAGTCGAGGAATCAATTATATAAAGTTCATATTTAAAGAAGAAAGAAAACACATAAAATCGTTTAATATCGCAGCTCATTCTGAGATCCGTTTATTAAATGATGCGATAAAATAATAAATAATATTTGATAAACATAATTTGTAATAATTTTCAGCTGTATGTGGCACACGTTAAAAAAGAGAAGAGAAAAAAAGCAAAGTCATATGCAGTTACGAGTCCTGGCGTTGTGGCAGGGGCAACTCCTGTGTCCTGTGTCCTGTGCCTGTGTCTGTGTCCGTGGCTAATGTGTGGTAATGTGTTTGGCAATTTCTCATGTGGCAGGACTCGCTTTGCTTTATTTCTTTCATTTTTGTTAGTCGCTGATAAGCAAAGGGGAAATAAATATGCATATATGGACTGAAAAAAGAAATGGTGAACGTCTCCTGCTGCTGCTGCTCCTGCTGCTGTTGCTGTTGGCCACGCGGCGTATGAGTTATCTGCCCAGGCGGAGTATATTAGCGTTGCCTTCAGCGAGATATGAAACAATTTATTAGCGCCAAAGTTTGCTTCATTTCTTTCTTCATTTCTTTTTATACATTATTTCGACCGCCTTTGTACAAGACACAAATGTGAAGGCATTTACACACACACACACACATATGCTGTATAGGTACAATCATGCATGTGTGGTTGTCAAGGAGGAGGAGGGGGGGGGGGCTGTGGGGCAGCTCCTAAATCAGCAGTCAACATTATTTCTTATTTAAAGTACGCATCTGAATGGGCGTATGTGCATGTGTGTGTGTGTGTGTGTCTGTGTGTGTGCAGGGATGTGCATCATTTGTTATCGCAAACTTTTAAATTAAAAATGTAAAGAAGTCAGCGCAGTGGCAAACGAAATGGCGTCCCACAATTTATGAGCACATTTTTGTTGGTTTCCATATTAACAGGCTTTTATTTATGAATTTTTAAGGACTATTCCGATGTCCGTGGACCAACAGCAGGTACTGTATTTGTATGTGTGTCATAAATATGAAGCACATTAAGCTTGGTAAGCATCCCGACTATCTATCTATCGATTGCCAATTTAATTTAAATAAAAATAATTTATTAAAATAAATAATTAATAAAAAAAAAAAAGTTTTCGAATAAATTTCGTGTGGTTGTGAACTTAGTTAGTTAGTTGTTTGTTTTGTTTATTTATGGAAATATGGCCGTATATAGCCGTATATAGCCGTATATAGCCGTATATAGCCGTATATAGCCGTTTATAGCCGTTTGTAGCGTTTTTTGAAATTAAAATTAAAATTGCAATATCTCGGGTTCCCAAAGGTCCGATTTCGAAATGATGTACCTCTTTCTTCTCGTACGGATCCCGACTATCGATTGACACCAAAAAATCTTAATCCTAAGAAATGTCCCAATTTGAGGAACGCGAAAAAATGCCGTTATAATTTTGAAGATTTTCGTTTTTTGCGATGATTCGGCTAAAAATGGTCCGATTTTGGAAAGTTATACCTTTTTGAATTCGTACGGGAATCTGGAATCGACTGGCATACCACGTTTTTCGTTTTGTTTGAAAATTCTGAAATTTAGAAGTTGGGCAAACAAAGCATTGCATACTTTCGTGCTGTCCACATAATACGCTTGAGTCTACAAGAGTAGTTGATCTACTGCATACTCTCAGGCAGTACTCTCGCCAGTCCGATTGCGGAGTGGTATACTCGTACGATTGCCGACTATCGACTGCCACGCCCGACTATCACGCAACATCACGTTTTCTCCGAAAACTGACTTTTTTCTGAAATCTAAAAAACGTTAATGACAAAAAATTCAGAAAAGCAAAAAGTGGTTGACCAGAAACCGATTTGTTTGTAAAGTAAACTTTTTTTGATGATTTTTTTGAATATCTCGGCCAAATAGTGTTCGATTTGGGAATTTTATACCATTTTCGACTCGTAAGGATCAGTACTATCGATTGGCATCAAAAAAATAAAAATCTAATTTTTGACCAAAATCATCAAAATGGCAAGGGGTTACATCACGTTTTTCTTCAAATTCGGGGTCGGTTCGAAAATCGAAACTTTTTTGATGATTTTTATTGAATATCTCGGGTAAATGCTGTCCGATTTTGAAATGTTATACCTTTTTGAATTTGTAAGGATCCCTACTATCAATCTGCATTCAAACATTTTAAAAATCGATGGGTTAAAAAAAGTGGTTGACCAAAAACCGAATTGTTTGTAAAGTCAACCTTTTTTTTATTGAATATCTCGGGTAAATGCTGTCCGATTTTGAAATGTTATACCTTTTTGAATTTGTAAGGATCCCTACTATCAATCTGCATTCAAACATTTTAAAAATCGATGGGTTAAAAAAAGCGGTTGACCAAAAACCGATTCGTTTGTAAAGTCAACCTTTTTTGATGATTTTTTTGAATATCTCGGCCAAATAGTGTTCGATTTGGGAATTTTATACCATTTTCGACTCGTAAGGATCAGTACTATCGATTGGCATCAAAAAAATTAAAATCTAATTTTTGACCAAAATCATCAAAATGGCAAGGGGTTACATCACGTTTTTCTTCAAATTCGGGGTCGGTTCGAAAATCGAAACTTTTTTGATGATTTTTATTGAATATCTCGGGTAAATGCTGTCCGATTTTGAAATGTTATACCTTTTTGAATTTGTAGGGATCCCTACTATCAATCTGCATTCAAACATTTTAAAAATCGATGGGTTAAAAAAAGTGGTTGACCAAAAACCGAATTGTTTGTAAAGTCAACCTTTTTTTTATTGAATATCTCGGGTAAATGCTGTCCGATTTTGAAATGCTATACCTTTTTGAATTTGTAAGGATCCCTACTATCAATCTGCATTCAAACATTTTAAAAATCGATGGGTTAAAAAAAGTGGTTGACCAAAAACCGATTCGTTTGTAAAGTCAACCTTTTTTGATGATTTTTTTGAATATCTCGGCCAAATAGTGTTCGATTTGGGAATTTTATACCATTTTCGACTCGTAAGGATCAGTACTATCGATTGGCATCAAAAAAATAAAAATCTAATTTTTGACCAAAATCATCAAAATGGCAAGGGGTTACATCACGTTTTTCTTCAAATTCGGGGTCGGTTCGAAAATCGAAACTTTTTTGATGATTTTTATTGAATATCTCGGGTAAATGCTGTCCGATTTTGAAATGTTATACCTTTTTGAATTTGTAGGGATCCCTACTATCAATCTGCATTCAAACATTTTAAAAATCGATGGGTTAAAAAAAGTGGTTGACCAAAAACCGATTCGTTTGTAAAGTCAACCTTTTTTGATGATTTTTTTGAATATCTCGGCCAAATAGTGTTCGATTTGGGAATTTTATACCATTTTCGACTCGTAAGGATCAGTACTATCGATTGGCATCAAAAAAATAAAAATCTAATTTTTGACCAAAATCATCAAAATGGCAAGGGGTTACATCACGTTTTTCTTCAAATTCGGGGTCGGTTCGAAAATCGAAACTTTTTTGATGATTTTTATTGAATATCTCGGGTAAATGCTGTCCGATTTTGAAATGTTATACCTTTTTGAATTTGTAGGGATCCCTACTATCAATCTGCATTCAAACATTTTAAAAATCGATGGGTTAAAAAAAGTGGTTGACCAAAAACCGAATTGTTTGTAAAGTCAACCTTTTTTGAGGATTTTTTTGAATATCTCGGCCAAATAGTGTTCGATTTGGGAATTTTATACCATTTTCGACTCGTAAGGATCAGTACTATCGATTGGCATCAAAAAAATAAAAATCTATTTTTTGACCAAAATCATCAAAATGGCAAGGGGTTACATCACGTTTTTTCTCAAATTCGGGGTCGGTTGGAAAATCGAAACTTTTTTGATGATTTTTATTGAATATCTCGGGTAAATGCTGTCCGATTTTGAAATGTTATACCTTTTTGAATTCGTAGGGATCACTACTATCAATCTGCATTCAAACATTTTAAAAATCGATGGGTTAAAAAAAGTGGTTGACCAAAAACCGATTCGTTAGTAAAGTCAACCTTTTTTGAGGATTTTTTTGTAATATCTCGGCCAAATAGTGTTCGATTTGGGAATTTTATACCATTTTCGACTCGTAAGGATCAGTACTATCGATTGGCATCAAAAAAATAAAAATCTAATTTTTGACCAAAATCATCAAAATGGCAAGGGGTTACATCACGTTTTTTCTCAAATTCGGGGTCGGTTCGAAAATCGAAACTTTTTTGATGATTTTTATTGAATATCTCGGGTAAATGCTGTCCGATTTTGAAATGTTATACCTTTTTGAATTCGTAGGGATCCCTACTATCAATCTGCATTCAAACATTTTAAAAATCGATGGGTTAAAAAAAGTGGTTGACCAAAACCGATTCGTTAGTAAAGTCAACCTTTTTTGAGGATTTTTTTGAATATCTCGGCCAAATAGTGTTCGATTTGGGAATTTTATACCATTTTCGACTCGTAAGGATCAGTACTATCGATTGGCATCAAAAAAATTAAAATCTAATTTTTGACCAAAATCATCAAAATGGCAAGGGGTTACATCACGTTTTTGCTCAAATTCGGGGTCGGTTCGAAAGTCGAAACTTTTTTGATGATTTTTATTGAATATCTCGGTCAAATAGTGTTCGATTTGGGAATTTTATACCATTTTGACTCGTAAGGATCCGTACTATCGATTGGCATCAAAAAATCAAATCTATTTTGACCAAAATCATCAAAATGGCAAGGGGTTACATCACGTTTTTTCTCAAATTCGGGGTCGGTTCGAAAATCGAAACTTTTTTGATGATTTTTATTGAATATCTCGGGTAAATGCTGTCCGATTTTGAAATGTTATACCTTTTTGAATTCGTAGGGATCCCTACTATCAATCTGCATTCAAACATTTTAAAAATCGATGGGTTAAAAAAAGTGGTTGACCAA